TTTTGAGACAGGGTCTCCCTGTAGCCCCAGCTGACCTGTTTCTGCCTCCCAAGTGCTGGGACTAAAGGCGTATGCCACCGTGCCCCTGGGTCACTTTTGAACAGAACCAGGGATTAATTTTAGTGTGGGATGGAGAAAGGATCTAAGCAGACAAAAGGACAGAAATCAACCTTTATATCCTCCCTGGTGTTAAGATTACAGATGTTTGCTGGAACCCCAGTTTAAAAGCTGTTCTATTGAAAACTGCTAGGTCTAGCTAGGTGTGGTGGTTCATGCAAGTAATTAAAGCACGAGGGGGTGGAGGCAGGAAAATACCAAGTTGAAGGCCAGCTAGATCCTGTCTGAAAAAAAACATGGCCTGGGGATGTAGTAGTAAGTAGCTCAGTGGTGTAGAATACCTACTTAGCAAGTCCAAGAACCTGGGAGTGAGCTTACATTACGAAAACAAAACCCAGGTTTTGCATTGTAAGGGATGGTACAAAAATTTATTAGAAATTTCTGTACCTAAGTATGGAATAAATAGTGCAGCCAAATTTAATCTTCATTGATTCCACAGACTCTAGAGTCAGAAGAAGTGGATTTAAATGCTGGGCTACATGGAAACTGGACACTGGAAAATGCTAAGGCTCGTCTGAACCAGTATTTCCAAAAAGAAAAGATCCAAGGAGAATATAAATACACCCAAGTGGGTCCCGATCATAACAGGTTTGCTTGTTTCACTCTTTTCCTTGTAGAAAGTTAACGTTGTTTGTATATTGGCATTCATTAACCAGATGTTACCTGGCTTATTGTGTGCATTAGCAGCGAATTGTGAATAGACCAGCTATATTCAAGAAGAATTTCTGATTTGTAAAGTGGAGTTATGAATGTAGTGCTGTCTGTGAGAAGTTCTGTAACAGTCTGTCCATAAGACTTAAGATTTTCATTTGATTAAGAGGCCACGGTTCACAACCACAAGTGGTGGTGTGTTGCTTGTTGATTTAATCAGCCAGATGTGGTGATTTTGTTTGTTGTTCTTTGTTTCATTAGAGGCTGTCTTAGTATTTAAGTATTTGTTTAATGGTTATTTCATTATCTCAGAATTAGATTGTATTGCCTCTAGATACATATTTACCTTCAGTTTGATGTTGACTACTACTCTTCATCCTCTTATTTAGTGCTATAAATTTGAAGGACCAGCCGGTCTTTATTTGTGGTTTAATTTAGAATGCTCTTTTATTTTCTGTTAAGTTTGTAAACTGAATATAGGGGAAGTTATGTGACCGTATGTTTCTCAGCCTGCTTGATGTTCTTCCTGAGAGCATTCCAGGGTGTAGTACTTATTACTCCCAGGAAGGCTCATATGGATTAGACTCTTCAGGGAGGCACTGTATTTTTATTGGAAGAGAATGGAAGTGGCTTTGAAAACTTCTGAATAATTCAATTTGTTCTACTTAATTATAAGAAATCAATTATCCAAAAAAAATTTAAAACATTTTCCTTAAATCAAAGTGTTCTCCCTTGGGTGCAAGTAGCAACCCTAAAATAATTACTGCCAAAAACCAAAAAACCAAAAAAACCAATTGGACCACATATTCAAAATGATCAGAGCATGGCTCCTCCTGCTTCCTACTGCTTTGTTCAGTCCTGAATTCTCAAATATTGTATACTTCTGATGTTCAATTTTTAAAAAAGATTTCTCTATTTTGGTGTCAGAATTTTTAAAATACTCATCACAGAAGGAAAAATACTTGTTTTTTTTTTTTCACTATTTTTTTTCCAGAACTGATTGGAGTTGGCATCTCTTTGGTTTTTTTTTTTTAATAGTAATTAGAAAGACTGGTGATAGAGCTCAATGGTAGAGCGCCTGCCTACATGCGTGAGGCCTTGAGTTCAATCCCCAGTATGCAATAGTAATAATAAATTATTATATACCTAAGTGCTCCTACAACTCACTCATTGCAAAAAAGCCAGAAATGGTGGCCCATGCCTTTAATCCCAGCACTTGGGAGGCAGAGGCCAGGCTGATCTTTGTGAGTTGCAGGTGAGCCTGGTTTTCATCGTGAGTTCCAGGCCAACCGGGGCTACACAGTAAGACCCTGTCTCAACAAAAACTTTGATATCAGAATCTTAAGTGATTTCTGATGTAAAGAAGCAAAGAATTCAGGACAAGACAACGTAAGAGGCAGACAGTTGGAGCTGGGACACATTGCTCTTTGTATGTCCTTTATTGAAAGGCATAACAGACAGCAACACCAGAGGTCTATGTTCATATACACATGTGCTGATGCTTAGGTAGAACTAAGCAATCACATGGGAAACTATTGTAAACTGATTTCTGGTGTTGCTGTTCCCCCCTAGGTGGAGGAGAATGAGATTGAGTGCTGACTTTAAGCCTGGCTGAGAAACATACTGTCATCGGTGTCATTAATGAAAGGGTGGATGTTGTTCCCCTGAAAGCCAGTGGCCTTTGACCCCTTGAAGCCCTTGTGCCTGAAGGTCAGTTGACAAAGAAGTATAGGAAGGAGACTAACACTTTTTTTTTCTTAAAGCCTCACATAATCTTTTATTCACAGCACAAAGCCAAGTTTTACTGTACCTGAGCAGAGAAGGACCAGAATACATTTGCTAAAACCTTAAATTTATTCATTCCTTAGAGTCTGCTAGCAGTTTAGTCATAATGTGGAAAGTGACTTTTGTTCTCTAGGCCCTGATTTAAATATATTTATACATAGGCTAAATTTTCTGTAACCTAAGGCTTCTTCCAGCTGTACGGATAATCGGGATTCTGCCTCAGGAGCTACTGGTACATAGTGTTGCATGTGTGAACTTACCCTAACAGGTTGCAGTTATAAATTGATATATACAGAATTTGAAGACTTTATTTCTTGGCTCCAAGCTAAACAGAAAATTTCTTTTCATTGAATGTTTTAATACTCAGATCCAACCTTTGGAATAAGTAAATACATTTTCTAAAACCCTAACATTTTCTTTTCATGAACGTTAGCTCATCAGCTGTTTATAACTATCTAATGTCGTGTATATTATTTGCAGTTTACATACTTTTTTGTTCTAGGATTGGACAGAAATGTTCAGAATATTGGGGGTTTGTGCTATGCTTTTGTCTAAAGCTGTGGAAAGCCTCCCTGACTAGGGAGATGTGGAATTAGTCATTCCTGACAGTGAAATTCCTAACCTTGTTTGTATATGTTGTTACAGGAGCTTTATTGCAGAAATGACCATTTATATCAAGCAACTGGGCAGAAGTAAGTGTAATTGGGTTTTTTTTGTTTTGTTTTTGGTTCTGTTGTATTTGCATAGAGAAGACATTTTTACATTGCATGTTTGATCCTCTTTGTTAGAATAACTGTAGAAAGGTTTTAAACTTTTCCTTGTGAAGATTTTGCAATGGAGGCCTCAAGTCTCACAGAGACCCAAATACTAGAACTAAAGGTATTCACCACACCTGGTGAAAAATGCTTTTTTTCTGTCTTTGAGACAGGGTCTCCCTGTAGCCCCAGCTGTCCTGGAACTCACTATGCAGACCAGGCTGGCCTTGAGCTCACAGAGATCCGCCTGCCTCTGCCTCCCAAGTGCTGGGATTAAAGGCATGTGCCACCACACCGGGCAAAAAAAATGCTTTTTAAGAAAGCATATTTTTGGGTCCCATAGCACCTACAATACTTTAAAATGTTAGCAATTATCTTAAATACAGGCTTAGCCTCAGTTTGCATATGCAAAAGATGCTAATGTAGTTACTAGTTTTCAAAAGTATGGTAAGATCTTTTTAAGGTCATATTAATATAGGTAGATGAAATTTGGAAAGGACTGAATTAAGTAATAGAATCAAGCCTAAAGATTGATCAGCATAACTGTGCGATAAGGTGGTACTTGCCTAACAAGAACAAAACATTTCTAGGCCCCCAACTTGACAGCCACCACTCAGAAGCAAAGCAGTTGGGCACAGTTCTTTATTAGTAATGCTCCCCCTGCAAAAAGTTGCTGGACCTCAATGGTAGAACATTTACATGCATAAGGCCATGAGTTCCATCCCATGTACCAAACAAAACTTTAAAGATAGCTCAATTGGTAGAATGCTTGCACAAATCCCTGTTGTTTGAGTCTTCAGGTCTACAAAAACTAGCCTAGTATTGGGGGCGGGGTTGGGGTGGTGGTCAGGAAGTTCAGAAGGTCAGGGCACGTGGATCCCAGCAGGTAGATCTCTAAATACAAGGCCAGCCTAGTCTACTCAATGAATTCCAGGCTCCTCGGGGCTAGGTAATGAGACCCTGGCCTCAGTCTTCCTTGACTACATAGAGAGTTTGAAGGCTAGCCAGTAGTGATTAACTTGAACACACGAAAATTTGCCAACAAAATAAATATTTCAGACCACCAGGAAGTAATAATGAAATTTTTTACTCGAGAGTTTTTCCTGGTTGTTTACACCAATAATCCTAGAACTCTAGAGTTTGAGACATGAAGAATGAATTTCAGGCCAGGTGCACCAGCCTTTAGTCCCAGCACTCGGGAGGCAGAGGCAGGCGGATCTCTGTATGTTCGTATGTTCGAGGCCAGCCTGGTCTTCATGGTGAGTTCCAGGCCAGTTGGGGCTGCAGACAGATCCTGTCTCAAAAAGACAAAAAAAAAAATAGAAAGACAAATGTGTTTTCTCTCATTCATTTGTGGTTCCAGGATTCTATATAGATACAGAACAGTGTGTGTGTGTGTGTGTGTGTGTGTGTGTGTGTGTGTGTATGAAAGTGGA